CTTTCATGTGTGCTCAGGCTTCGCGTTGATCTGGGAGAAGGTCACGTCAACGATGAGCACATTACATTTGAACTGAAGCTGGGGAAAATTATCTGGCCCAAAATGATTCAGTGTCTGATTGCTTTCATATTCTTATTATAAATATCCTCAGGCTATTTCCCTGAGGCAGGAAAATACCGTTATTCCTATTTTGAGTGAAAGAAGAGGGGAATGAAGTGACTTGCCTAAAATGATACTGGAAGCGTGGCAGAAAGAGGTACTGAATCCTTGGTTAACACCAAGCCATCTTTCTGAGCTTTTATCGACCACAGCCATATCCAGCCCCCTCTATTTATTTCTCTAGAAGCTATCGTGCCAAAACCTCTGTTAAATTGGAGAGTGAGACTGAAGGAAAGCTTTCAGTGGATTGCTTTTTTCCATAAATGGAAATATCACAAATCATTCTGGGAAAACAGGTCTTTCTGTTCTCATCCCTCTTTGTCTGCTTCTCTCCTTTTGGACGTCTTTTCCTCTGCCTCTGGCTCCCAGTTTTCAGATGTACAGTCCTGACCATTTTAAAGTGTTCCTACCCTGCAGGAAGGGAGTAGCTTTTCATTCTTTGGAACTTACTATTTTGTGATGGTTTGCACTCTGCAGGCAAGCACGACTTCTGAAAGAGGCAGGGCTGCACAAAGCGGCACAAAAATAAACCCTATCACCAGCAATACTGAGCCGGGTTCTCATCGGGGGTAGCTTGGTCTGACTCTCGCTGCAGCAGACCTGACTGCTGCCAGCTGCCCTGGATAAACTGCATGTACCCAAGCAATGACCCGGCTGTATTGGAGGTCTCTCTGAAGGCTGAATGCACAGTTAATGTTGATTTTCGTGCATCTTAGGCACTCAGTCCCTTTTGGCAGTGTGGCAGGTTGTCTCTGCTCTGTCTAAATGCCCTGACTGGGCAACTTCTGTCTCAGTCCAGGCACTGGGGGGGGTTGCCTGATGCACCAGTCCTACCTCCTCCAGGAGGCATTTTCCAAAGCTTGGGCAGGCCACAAGCAAATGGTGGGGATTGTGCCTAAGGACTCACGGTAATAATAGCCAGGGAACCTGGGGGCTGCTCTGTGATTTTCTATGGGCCTGGGCTTCCCCAGCCTTTCTATCCTGAGACAACACAGAGCTCCTCCCCACCTCCTCTGCAGCCTGCACATCTCAAAGCAGGCTGCTCAAAGGATGCCCACACCAATATGCCAGGGAGAGGGAGGTGACTGTGATGAATGAGAGAGACTGAAGATCTGGTGGGTGAGCAAAGGAAAGAGGATGAGGGGAGAGCCTGGACTGTGCTGGGAGAGCTGCAAGAAGGAGGTGGAAGCACGTGGCTGAAGTTTCTCAGAGAGACGTGCAGGAGAAGCCAGAGTGCTCAACACCTGCTTGTTTCAGGGTTCACAGCATGAAATGGCTCAAGTCGGGAAGAATGGGAAGGGCAAAAAGACACAAGTACAAAGGGAGATGCTGTTCTCACTCCCTTGAGCAGCTCCTACACACCCTCCCAAATAGTAATTTGCTCCTGCTGAGGCACTCACAAGTATTGCCTATAGGGCAGCTCACAGCTCTTCCCTCCCTGGCTCTGCAAACCGCACGTGCAGCACAGAAGGCTGTTGTGTCAGACCTCAGCAGTGCTGCTGAGTGGCTCCATCCCTCCTCCCCACTCAGCACAGGTGCCAGGGATGCTGCTGCACCATCTCAGCAGGCCACAGATGTCTGTCAGAGAGCTGCTGAGTGACCTTGGCACAAGGAGTGACACGGAGGCCTTCCCCGCACCGAGCTGAACTGCTGCCATCCGTCACTCACCGATACAAACTGGTGCACCCGCACCATGCCCTCGTGTGCAGCACGAGGCAGAGGAGTGCTGGCACCCCTGTTTTACAGGGTGGGACTCCGAGGCGGAGACAAGAAGTTGTTCTAACAGCAAGCCTGTGGCAGAGCAAAAACTGAATCCTGCTCTTTTACATCCCCAGTCAGTGTGTTAATGACCTAAATTCTGCATCCTTTCCCCATCCGTTGCCCAGAGGAGCTAGGAGGCATTGGAGGAGAGGGTGTGATAGCACAGGAATTCAGAGTCTGCTAAGCACAGACAAAGCAGGGGCTGAAGTGGGACCAGTGCTGCCCACCTTGCCAGCATAAACCCCGGCAGGGTTGGCACAGTGTACCAGCCTGCAGTGAAGGGCAGCTCCTCAATGACCCCAGCATCTTAAGTAAACCAAGGCTGGACTGCCCAATGGCCAAGCACCCTGCTGAGCCAGGTCAGCCAGGACTTCTGGACTCTCAGCACCAGGAGCAAAGAGCCTGCATGTCCCCTCACCCTGACTAAGTAGCTGAACCTCTAACCAGCTATCCCACACAAGTCCATGTAAAAGACACCCTGCTCAAGATGCAGTGTCTTTCCCAGGCAGCTTGATTCTTCGCATAGGAATTAATCAGGCTCAAATACAGCGAGAAATAGAGTGGGGGAGAAGGAGAAAAGAAGAAGCAGGGAAAGGATGGCACAGAAAGAGGAGGTTTCCACATGCAGTGCCTCTTCCCTCCCTGGCTGATTCCGGCTGGGGGTCTCCAGCTGTGTGATGGGAGCCTTGCCTGGGAAGTGCTCCCCAACAGTGTACAAGCAGGAGGCACTCAGTATTCAAGATGTGCCAGGCAAGGAGCTGAAATCTGGTTTTGGAGGTTCCTTCAGTGCCTCGGGGAGCAGCAGTGCTCACATGCACTGTACAGCAGTGAAAGCAACCAAAGGACCAGGGTGATGAGCTGCTCGCCTGTCATAGGCAGATGGCCCTGGGCAGTCAGGGGCAAGCAAGCGAAAGGACCCCCTTCATGCTATATCTACCTTCCTCACAGGTTTTTAAGTGGGCAAGAAGCAGGGTGGGAGTGTGGCAAAGGAGTCTGGCTGTGCAGCTTTCCTTTCAGAAGACATATGGCTAAGAAGCAGACATTTCTTGAACGAGGTAACTGGATTGAGGATGGATGATTAATAACCTCCTTTCATAACCCACAGTTTCAGTGTGGGAATAACACTTCAGAACTACACAGAGAGGCTTTGTTCCTACTTTCTTCTCCTATTACTTACCTCTCACATGCACACACACTCCTCTGTACTGTCTCTAGCCTCTCCATGGAAGCTCTTTGAACTAGTAGTTAAAGGCAGTAGGTATCTCAGAAGCATTAGACACAAGATGACTGGACGCAGACAGGGCTAAGCCTGGGGGCTGACCTAGAGGAACCTCCCTACCTGCCTTCTACAACTATTTGCTCATCACTGCCTCCCAAAGTGTTCCAATCCTTGCTCCAGCAAGGCTCAGTCTCGAGAAGAAACTCAGAGGGAATCCTTTGAGCTTGGTCCTTCTTCCAGCTATGACCAAATATCTGGAAGGTCATAGGAATTAATCTGGAATAAACCTTCCAAGACATGACTCTGGGACCTGATATGGTGCCTGCAGGTCTCAGTCTGGGTAGGGTTGTCCTAGAAGAGCTCTGGGTTCATCACGTTCAACCCTTCCCAGAGGCAGCAACCACACATGCAGTGGCTTCACTGTCCCCTCCCCATGCACAACCAGCTTGTCCAGTGGCTGGGCTCAGGGACAGGGTGGCAGGAGGCTTTCCCATGTTGCCACAGCATTTGTTACTCTCCAGACTCAGTCTCCAAGCCCTTCTGCTAAGGGATCAGTCAGCCTGAGCCACTTTGGTGGCTGACTTCTGGTGAGGGGGCCAATGGGATCATCATGCCTATCCAGGTACCTCATGCAGACACTGCTTTTCACATTTCTGAACATATTATGCCCATCAGTTTTGTGTTAAGGGCCGGCCAGTGCAAGAATCCAGAGGGAAATGTAAGGGGAAGAAGTTTGGGGGAACCCCAGAGGCATAAGGAAATTGCCTTGCATGTGGGCACCCCTGTACCAGCATGAACAACCTGATCCTTGGAGATACTAGTCCACCAGTGGTCATGATGATGACATGGCTTGAGGGTTACCTCTCTGGAGTGGTGTTCGTGATTTCAAGAGGAGAGAGACATGGACGATGAAAATAAGAACCTGGTAGACATCTCAGATGACAAAAGACTAGGAAGGTGTTGCTTGCCTCCTGCTGAGATGGCTTTGCTGGTCGTAGAGTGTGTGAAAAAGGATTCCCCATGACTAAAACTAGCAGAGGCCCTGTACATAAGACAGTCTGCTGAAACTGAGGGTGACCAGCCTGGGTTCCCTCACTTACAGTAGAAGATTTTGCTCCCCCAGTGCAAAGGGTGTTTTGCTGCTGAGCCACGTACACGCACATGCACCGAGCTTCTTGTAGCCTTAGTCTGTGAGAGGACACAAGAGGAGACCTGATAAAGGTATGCAAAACCAAGCAGTCTTATGGAGAAAGTAGACTAAGAGGTTTTGCTCCTCTCACACTGCACCAGAACAACAGAATGTATCCTGCACGTGAAAAGAATAGGCAGCAAATTCACAGCTGAGAGAAACAAGCGCTTTTCCACCCAAACCTGATCCCCGCTGCTGGGATCCACCGAAGCCACACCAGGTGAAGCACAAACACCCAGTTACGCTGGTCAATGCTGAGGGAAGGGACTCTGGCCCTTGTGCTTCACAGGGTGATCCAGCCTCTGGCTCCTCTTCCCACCCCACCACCTTCCTTGGAGGTGGGCAGTGCTCTCCCGTCCATCTGCAGCAGGAGCCATGCCTGCTGGCCAAAGCTCCTGCTGCTCTTCACCACTGAGTGAGGGGTGCTGTGCTAGGTGGGCATGAGGCTGGATCCAGATAGTGAATCCCATGCTCCTGTGCAAATAAGAGGGAGATGCATGTGTGAGCATGCAAGGAGACTACCTGGGCATTTAATGGGCATCTGTACGCGATCAGGAGTGCTGTCTGGAGGGAAGGCAGGGAGGGCATAAAGGGCGATGCAGAGGGCAGTTGTTCCTGCGAGGCAGGTTTTGGTGTTCTCATTTGTTCTTGTTTTTTTCTCTTGTTCCCTAGGGAATTTTAAAGGTCTGTGTAAGCAAATCGATCACTTCCCTGAGGATGCAGATTATGAAGCCGATACAGCAGAATATTTCCTCCGTAAGTCTGCAGGTTCTTCTTCTTGCAATGGCTCGTAGGTGCTAGCGTCGAGTGCCTTTTGTTCTCTGTAGGTAGAGTGGTGGATATGCTGGGACCTGTGAGGCTCAGCAAGCCAGAGGAGGTGACCCCAGAGCCACACTGCCCCCCCAAACCAGTTCCACTCTCACCTCCTTGGGGCCCTGCTCATAAGACAGTGCAAGTTTCAAACTCACAGTAACAACTGATGGCTTTTTTTATTAATGGCAATTAACTTTGATATAAATCTAGAGTCTTAATTCAAATCCATTGGAGAGCTGCTGAGCAGATGTAAGGTCAGGACTGTGCTAGCTGGGGCAGTGTGAGTGTATGTGAGAGTCTGTGTGTCTTTCCTAAAGCAGAGGAAGTTTATATTTCCTTACCTGATACTGCACTTGCATCAAATTAAGAAATTAGCTGCACTGTGTCTGAGGAGCACCTATTTCTGTCTTTACCTTTCCCCAAACACCACTTGCCTATAAAGGCTGCAGGTCTGATCTATGCTGCTTTTAGTGATGGGAACAGGAAGCAGGAGAAAGGAGAGTCAGAGCCCTTTGACGAAAAGAGCTGGTGCTCACCCAGAGCCACTTGGAGAGGTGCTGTAAGCCAGGCACATGGCATCTCCATAAGGAAACCTAACCTGAGCTCCAAGCCCAGTCTGGGACATGTGGGTGAAGCAGGGCAGATCAACACCGTGTGTTGCCCTCCCTGATCACAAGCCAGCATTTCCACCTTGCCCTAGAGGCAAGAGCTTGCTCTTCCTTTAGCACGGCTGAACAGGGATCATTCCTCCTCTTAGGTCCCCACCTTGCTATCCTGCCCTCCCTCCACAAGCCCAATGCCTTTTGACATCACAAGAAGAGATCTTCTCCATTCAGAAATCTGAGATGAGAGCTTTTGACCTCCCAAGGTTAAGCATCAGAGGACTCCAAAAGGCTGGGAGTCTTTCAGAATAGCTCCTTGTCAGCCAGGCATTCTCCAAGCCAGATGTGGAGACCCAGCCCTGCGGCAGGGATGAGAGAGATAATTTAGGCTCTGTGAGGCTCATTTGTATGTGAAAAGAGGCGGACCTTATGCTGCTTCCTCTTGGTTTCTCAAACAGTTCTTCATCCACTGTAAATTGTAAATAACCCAGGGAGATTGCTTCCTTCAGATGCCTTTCTGCAGCATCAGCCTCTTAATCGCTGCTTGGCCCCTGAACAGCAGAGCTGAATACAGGGGTTTGATCCAGTTTGGCACAGCGGCTGTGCAGGCTGCCTCTGAGGCCAAACCTGCTCTTGCAGAGCTGTTTGAGAGAGAGGAAGCTGCTTGCAGCATCAGCTGCACTTCAGAAAGAAGAGTTGGGGGAAGGGGCCAAGCATCTCAAGAAGGATGAGTCTGTTCCCTCAGAGAGAACAAGATCTAAGCACACAAACTGACCCATCATCAGGACCTGATGGCGTCCCAGTGTAGAGCCCTTTTCAAGAAAGAAACAGGTTCAAAGAGGAATTTGGTGAGTCAATAAAGGACAACTTGGATCATTCATGAGGGAAGTGGGATTTCTGCTGGCTTAGACATGACTGAAGAGGGACCCCACTGAACAGCTTCTTCCCAGGACTCCTGCCAAACCAGAGTCCCTGGGCTCTCTGCATGGGTGATGCCTGGTGGTACTGGCAAGAACAGCTAGGAAGTCATCCATTATCATCAGACTAAGCGATTCCCTCATTTAGGGGACTAGGACATAACTGTGGGGCACTGCCCATGGCCTTGCTAGAAGGGCTTAGACTTTATTTCTGCCAACCGTTCACTTAAGGTGTGTTAGTCTCTTTGAAATCAAACGCCTCTTGTCAGGAAGCTCTTTGCTTCCTGCCATTTAAGCTTCACATTGTCAAATCCCACCTTGCTTTCCAGAAGCTATTAAGAAGGTTATTATCACTGTCCTGGTCCCTGAAACACAGCCAGGCAGAACTGGAAAGCAAGCAAGAGAGGTTTCTCCCTGCTGTTTGCATTCCCTATGCGCAGGCAGTGGGCTAGGGCCCCCCCTCAAAGAGTGGACCGCTTGTGCCTGGTAGGATCCTGATGCCAACAGGCTCTTTGAAGCACGCTCTCTGCCCACTTAGGCGTAAATCCTGTGCTTGCTTCAGTAGGGTTCATTCTTGCAGGCAAGGATATATTGGCTTTCATCCCCCCCTTCCAGATCTTTGCTCCACATGCAGAATTGCACCAGCCACTCTGGTACCTTTCTTTACCAAGCAAGGCTTCATTTCACGCTTTACCAGCTTACTTTCTCTTGGGAAGGGAGAAGGGAAGGCCTTCCTAATTAAAACATATGAATATTGGCCACGTGAACACAGGCAGCCTGTTGGTACCCACTGAGCAGCCCACAGTCAGCATGTGTGCACTTGCACGTGTGTGCACATGTATATACAGACCTGGCCTTTTGCTGTGTGATTACAAGAGAGTCCCCCCAGAAGCTTTGGGGTACATTTTGCATGTGTGTACGAGCATACCCTGGCATCAGTGCCATTGCCCTCTGCTGGCTGAGCCATTCCCGTTATCGACCGATGGAGAGTGCGTGTGTGGGAGCTGGCACATCCGAACACATCACTGCCCTCTGGAAGGAGCCCAGTTGTTCGATCACCAGGATAAGCCCTGTGCTTCAGCGTGGAGGGCTGGGACTTCAGCTTCTCGGCCCTCACTGCAGCTACAGAGCAGCAGGAGCTCCTTCCCAACCCTAAAAAGATATATAAATAAATAAATCTCTCCTTGAGATGCTCAGGCCCTTTTGGGAGGATTCGAGATCAAGCAGCTCTATGGGAAGCATTTGTGTGGCTGCTTTTTGAAGAGTGGGCTGGAGCAGCAATGCCTCCCAGGAGGAGAAGCTGGATGGTGCCAGGGCTCCCCCTCCAGTCTGTTGTCCCCCCAAAAGTGAAGGATAAGACAGTGTAAGGGGGGATAGGCAGCACAGCAGGGTCCCAGCTCAGCCAACAGCCCCACACCTCCCCACCAGCTTCGTGGCAGCAGACAGGGAGCAAGAGAGATGCTTCGGACAGCTCTCTTTTTCTGACACACTTTGTTTCTCTCTCCCTCCCCAATACATTTATCCCTCCTTGTATTACTTCCCCCCACCTGCACATTGCCTTCTGTGTCTCCCCTCTACCCCCACTCTTGTACCCCCACGTAACCCCATATCCTCACCCCCTTTTTCCTCTCTCTCACACCTCTGTTGTTCTTTCTGTCCTGCTCCCTCTCTCCTCTGCAGGGGCTGTTAGAGCCTCTAGTATTTTCCCGATCCTGAGTGTGATTCTGCTTTTCATGGGTGGACTCTGCATTGCAGCCAGCGAGTTCTACAAAACCCGACACAACATCATCCTTAGTGCCGGCATCTTCTTCGTGTCTGCAGGTAAAGGGATGCACAGGGCCTGATGCTCCTGCGATCTGGACAGCCTGCTCAGCTGGGGCGTCCTGCACGGGCTCAGTTGCTCAGGCAGGAATGCTTATGGTTCCTAGCTCTGATGAGCCTTATTTGGGGAGAAAACAGGCCTTTTCACCCTGCTTCCTTGCCTGGAAGAGGCAGGCAGCTGCACCCTGCAGGCAGGAGGGGATTTCCTGCTGCAAGGGAGATGCTGGAGGGAGAGGGTTTCTTTCCCTACCGATGGCATCTCTCGGGAACCAGCCAGGAGTGCAGTCCAGTGATGCTGCAGGTGTGCAAGGAGGGTCTTGCCTGGTTTCCTAAGGGAAGTGGCCCACTGGGAGGGGATGGGAGTCTGGGGCCCCTTCTGTCCACAACCCCACAACCCTCATGTGTGACTCTCCTGACATCTCCCTTTCTCTTCCCCACCGTCCGGCTGGCAGGTCTGAGTAATATAATTGGCATCATCGTATACATATCAGCCAATGCTGGAGACCCCTCCAAGAGTGACTCTAAGAAGAACAGCTACTCCTACGGCTGGTCCTTCTACTTTGGGGCCCTGTCCTTCATTATAGCTGAGATGGTGGGAGTGCTGGCCGTCCACATGTTCATAGACCGGCACAAACAGCTGCGCGCCAACGCTCGCGCCACGGACTACCTCCAGTCCTCCGCCATCACCCGCATCCCCAGCTACCGATACCGCTATCAGAGACGCAGCCGCTCCAGCTCCCGCTCCACTGAGCCTTCACACTCCAGGGATGCCTCTCCCGTCGGGATCAAAGGGTTCAACACCCTCCCATCAACAGAGATCTCGATGTACACCCTGACCAGGGACCCGCTGAAGGCAACCACCACCCCTACCGCCACCTACAACTCCGACAGGGACAACAGTTTCCTCCAGGTTCACAACTGTATCCAGAAAGAGAACAAGGACTCTATCCACACCAACACAGCCAACCGCCGGACCACCCCGGTATGAAGCTGTCGCCAGGAGCTGAAAATGGGGCAGGAACGGGCAGGAGACAGGGTGGGATGCGGGGTGGGAAGGGTGGAAGCGGGGCAAGGGTAGCAGGGAGGTGGGAAGGAGGAGGAGGAGGAAAAGGAGAAGGAGGAGAAAGCGCCCCTTGGGGGGTTGGGGACCTACCCAACGCAAAAACAAAAAAAAAAAAAAAAAGAAAAAAAGAAAAGAAAAAATCCACCAAAAAAAAACACAACAAAACAAACAAAAAGGACAAAAAAATAAACAACCAACGAGAAAGCAGATAAACAAACAAGCGAGTGAACAAAAAAACCAAACAAATGACAAGGAAATGAAAGGAAAGAGACAACAGCGAGAAAAAAAATTCATAAAAAAAAAAAGAAAAAAGAAAAAAAAGAAAAAATTTAAAACTGAGAGAAAGAGATTTAAAAAATAGAAATAAATTTAAAAGAAAATGCATGATTTCCCATGTACCATTATTTTAACATTTAATAAAAACAGACTTAAAAAAATATAAAAGGGAACCAAGAAATAACAAAGGACAACAAATCCAGTGGGATGAGGAGGAGGAGGAGGCAGCTCTTTGGATTTTGGGGGGTTTTATTCTTTAATTTTAGTTTCTTTCCCACTTACCTTTAATCCAGCACAGGCTCCTTGGGGGACTGGGTCTGGGGGTCCTGACAGCAGCGACTTTGGTGTCCTTGGGCAGCTTACAGAGGATCCCAAGGTGCCAGGGGCTCAGCCAAGACCCACTCTGTTTCCCCAGGACCCATGGGGATCCACTCCATTCCCCCAAGACAGATGGGGATCCGCTTATGCCCCACAGGTCCATAGGGGTTAAGAGCAACTCCTGTCCCTAGAGAATGCAGGAGCCCATGCTGAGTCACCCCTCCACAGTGTCCCCAGGGGGGATCGCTGATTCCCTGGCCCTAGGAGCCCTGGGGTTAACGGTGACAATGCAAAAAGCAAACAGACACAGTATATAAAGAGACAGGCGTACACAGAGACAAAAAAAAAAAAACAAAAAAGGACAAAAAAAAAAAGAGGTTTCTTAAAAAAAAAACAAAAAAAAAGTGGCAATTTTTTTAATAAAACAACAGCTATAAATAAATGTAAATATAATAAGTGGATTTACTTGCAAGAAAAACAGATAGTATTATTTTTTCTTTTCATTTTTGTTTTCTCCAGCTTTAAACTGTGAACAAAAAACAAAGAGAAAAAGCAATGGGGAGTGTGGTGGGAGGTGCAGGCAAAGGGTGGGGGCTGTGGAGGGGAACCATGGCTCCCATCCCTTCGGGATGCTGCTGCTGTGGTCCGGGGGGGGATATGGGAGGCCAAAGCCGAGGGCAGCGTGCCAACGGGGGGGACAGCACTCGTGCACGCAGGTGCCCCTGTGCTTACATACGTGTGCCCAGGCACGGGCACGCTCTCCTGTGAATGCTCCAGAGGCTTCCCAGGCAGCCCCCAAATCTGCCCAGATCCCACTTAGGTCCTGCCAATGGGGCTGCAGCCATGTGGGGGCGTGGCAATGTCTACCCAGCCCCTGAAGTAGCTCCTGTCTCCCCCCCCCCCCCGGGTACAACCAGCCCACCCTGACCCAAAGCTGGCCACCGGCTTTTAGCCTTGACACACGTAGTCCCCGGCCAACACCCCAGGGAGGCCCCTGCTCCAGGCCTGAGCATCCCGAGTCCCAGTGGCCATGCCAGGGAGAAGTGAGAAGCCATTGGGCATCTCCACACCCGCTGGGTTTTGTCCTCGTTCCCTCCTCGCAGGGGCATCCCATCCCGATGTGGCTTCATCCACAGTGAACAGGTGAGCTGGGCCCCCACCCCAGGACCCCTGCACCCCTTCCCAGGGGTGCCAGGGTCAGCTTTTAATCCAGGTCCCCCACGGAGGCAGAGGTAGGGGAGCACATGGGGCTACAGTGACACCCTGCAAGCCGCTGGCCAGCCCAGGGAGAGGGCAGGGCCCCTTGTGGGGAGGCTTGCGGGAGGGGGCTGCCGAGCCCTTGGGCAGCTCAGACCCACTTTTCGACATCTCCGTCCTCGCTTCTGACGCTCCAGTTTTGCGGAGCTGTGCAGTCCCCCGCTTTGGGTCCCAGTGGGGCTTCTGCTTCAAAGAAACCTCCACCTCCCCGCTGCTTTCACCCCCCTTCCTTGCCCCAGAGCAGGGCAGTGGGCAGCAATCGGGAGGGGGTCACCCCTAGAAACAGCATCACCGGGCAAGAGGAGGATGAGAGCGGCTTGGCTGGGTGTCCAGACCCCCCACCCCAACCACTGAAATCCCCTCCCGTGACCCCACAGCCCTTTAAAAGAGATTCACAGCAACCCCCCTGTTCCAGTGCCTCTCAAGGAACAAGTTAAAGCTGGTTTCCCAGACCCCGGCATTGGGGTTTCCATCCCCAGCTGCCCCCTCGCCCGCCCGATGCCGTATGGAGCTGGGGAGCATTCACAGGGCTGAGTGTGCCCCCCGGGGACAGGCGGGAAGGGAAGAGTGCCGGGAGAGCGTGGATGGGAGGTGAGGGCTGGCAGGGAAGCTTTCTTCTGAGGGTGTTGCTCATGTCCAGCTCAAACCAGTACAAGAAACCAACTTCCATTTCCTTTATTTCATGGTTTTTTTCAGACTGTTAAAAAGAAAAAAAATTTTAAAAAGAGAAAATGACAAAAAAAAAAATCCTGGTACATGAAATAAAGATTTTTTTTATATATATAACTTGGTCCTCGTTTATGTGGACTTACTGGGGGGGAGGAAAAGTTCCTCAAATGCCAGCAAGAAAGTCAACTACTGGAGAGTTCTGTCCTCTCTGGTGACTGAGTGGACGCTCTTGCTTCAATGGCTCTTCTCAAGTTGGTCTTCATGATACAAGGCAAGAGGAGAGGGCTTTGCTACAACCTTTTTCAAAGTAAGTGCAGGTAAATGCAAGTCACACACATGGGCTTTTCCTGCTGCTCTCCAAATATCTGCTCCAGCCCCTGTTTTGCCCCCAGCATTGCTGCTCCTGTCCCATTCCTCCCAGGATGGTGTTACCACAAAGGATACTACCCAAACTCCTACCCAAAGAGAGCAGTTCTCACATCACCAAGCCAGGAACCACTTACCAGCTCAGCATTCACACAGGCTGGAGGGGTCAAAAAGGAAAGAGAAAAGAAAGTGGGACTAATGTTGTTTTGGGGTTTTGTTCAATCACTCACAGGATTTGGGCGATTTCCTCAGTAGCTGGGTTGGCAGGGCTGCCTGGTGGAAATGCTCAGCATCAGAGTCCTGAGTTGGGGGTTTCTTACACCCAGAAATGGGTGAGATATGTCCCCTCACCTCCCACCCCACCGCTGGCAGCAGGGGTGCCACCAACGTGCTGAGATGCCCTCACCTCCGCTGGGCTCCTGCTTACCGTGGGATCCTCCATGGCTTTCTGGAGTGCACCAGGATTCCCATCAGACCCCATCACCGGCAGCTCAGAGGGGTTATGAGGACGGAAAGCCAACAGAGGGACAAAGCCTCTCCGAAGTGCAGCCAGGGTCTGACCCATGGTGGGCTGGATGAGCAGGTAGGATGAGGGGTTTAATTCAGTGGTGGCAGGGGGGGCAGCGGCATGAAGATACACTCGGCTCCAAAATGTCCCAGCAGACACTGATGGTTCACAGTGCCATCACAGCACCACAGTCCACCCACCGCCTGATGCACATCGCACAGGTTGATACCGATGCTCAGCATGCAGATCCTCTGATCAGCATCACTGGGTACCCCCAGCCCAACAACCTTCAGCTCATCCCTCTCCTTTAGGCCCCTGGTAGCACTACACAGATACCCCATGCCCCCCAGCATGCTTGTCAGCACACACATTTCGTGGGCCAGCCAGCCAGATGCTTCACCACCAAGGTAATTGAGGGCACCTGCTGCCCCATTTCTGATCCTCCTCCGGGGACCCTTCCCAGGAGCAGCCTCTCCAAGAAGGAGGGCACAAGGAGGGGAGAGGCAGCAAAGCAGGCCAGGCACTGGCTCTGTGGGACACCAGGGAGCTCCTGGCCGTGACATACACACATCTAGGATGCAGCCATCTTCCTGCCCTGTCTAGCTCACAGACCCCAAAACCTTCTCACCCTCTTCTCATCCCCTTGCCTGGCTCTGAAGCTGCCACCAGTGCTGGGTGCTCCCACCCAAGCATGGGTGGGATGATCTGCAGAAACCCTCATGCATCTTCATCCATCCTCCTTGGGCCACTGGGGAGATGAGGCTCCACTTCCTGTGTGATGCAGCACAGAGAGTGCCTGGCTTAGCCTCTTACATGGTTCCAGGAGACGCTCCTTCCTCACACAGTGCAGATGGTCTTTTTCCTTTCTGCTTTTCCCCTTCTTCTGGCTTTTACAGATGGGGCAATGGCAGGGGAACCACACCAGCCTGAAATTAGGCATGAGGAATGCATGGGGAACACTGCTCAAATGGGGCAGCCTCCATTCCATAATAATTAATACTCAGCACTTCTACAGCACTTTTCATGTTCAAAGCACATTACAAACATTAACTAATTAATCTGTCATATTAAGCGGTATCTTAAAGGGGTGACGTTGAAAGCAAAGGGCTTGTGCATGGGCAGGAGCCCTCATTCCCACTCTCTCCCAGGGGACATGAACACTTGGATAGGTGCAAGACCCTAAAATGCCACCCTGTGCCCCTCTTGGGTCTCAGTGCTCCCCAGAACATTTGCTTGCCTCTTCCACAGGGATCAGCATCTTCTCCACAGCAGTGAGACACTGAGGTCCTGGGAATGCCAGGGACTTGCAACTGACAGGTCAGTTAAAATACCCGGATTGGAAGTCCCCCTGCATGGGGTGGTTTCTCAAATCTGAGGACACACTTCCAAATGCTGGCCAGGGATGGGTGGAAAGCAGGCAGGCATCTACCAGGGAGGATGCTGCCCCACTCATAGCAACCCTCTAGGATGGCTCTGGCAAAGGATCCAAGCCTGAGAGGGCATGGTGCTGCCCGAGGAATGCCAGCCAGCACTGACAATGATGCCAGGTCTTCCCTCACCATGGAGGCAGCATGGCTGAAGAGGGGGCTCCCTTTAGGGGACAGTACAGGGTGAGGGAGCACTTCCTGCTGAGTAATGCCCAGCTCCTGGCACTCATGGGTCTGTTGTTAATGTGTGCTTACTGCTACTCTGCTGACTTCCTCATATGGACCTTAGCCAGGACTGGCTGGGTTTTGGGAGACACTCTGAGAGCTCCTAATATGGGGAAACCTAGATACATGGCCATCAAATTAACACCGGGCATTTAATAGCATCATTGAAATGGTTTAAACACCTAGAGGTAGTAATTAGTAATAATGGTTCGGTGAGGGAGGAAATTAAGAGCCAGGTATGGAGCCCAGTACTTTTCTCTGCAGGTAATTTTTAGTGCCAAATGACTACAGAGAGAGGCCAAGCACCAGACACACAAGCCTACTGTCTTGTTTGCACGTGAGGACTGACACAGGGGAGGAAGGCAGTTGCACATCTCACCTTTTCAAAGCCAAGCACTGGGGCCAAGGATGCAGAGAGCCTCAAGAAGGAGAGCTGATGGAGAAAGGGGGTCTGTGAGGGTTTAGTCAACCTAACAAAAGCCTCTAGGTGAGCAAGGATGGCAAAGAGCAGGCCAGCTGCATGTCCTGGGGGCTCTGTCTGAGGGTAGAGGTGGCTCCAGACACTCAGCATCCCCTTCTTGGGTGCCTTCCAGCTGCTGGGGGCTTCTCCCCTCCTTTCCCCAGGCCCTTTCAGACACCCCCTGCAGAGACAGAAAGAAGAGGCAACAGTTTTGGTAGGGAAGGGAGGCAGAGGAAGGACAAATATTAAGAGCAGCCAAAGATCTATACAGATTAAGGGAATATGAATTAAATGCCACCAGCCTGAGATTTCCCTCCAAAAGCAGAGAACAAGTCATCCCTCTTGCTAAGCTGAGGCATGGAGCTGGACCCCATGGCAGCTCCAGCTCATTATGCTGCTTCTCACCCAAGCAGAGCATTTATAAGAAGTTGACCAAACCAAGCACATCCATGCCACATTTTAATGGCTCCACACAGCTCCAGAGTAGCTGTGCAACCAAAATGCATCATGGAGAGAAAAATCCCTCCAGGACATGGGACAGGTCCTAAAAAAAAAACTTTCCCTGGGGATTTATGCCCACAAGGGTAGAGCAGACATTGGTGATGTTCCAGTGTCCACAACAGATACTACATCCTAAGACCACCAACCACCGGTGGGTAGAGCGGTGCTGAGGACCTACCGGACATGGAGCTGCAGTGAGGACCCCACCAGAGAAGACAGGACCCCGATGGGCTGTGCTGCTTCCCCCAGGCACAGCAGCAGAGGCTCACCCAGCTATCACCTTTCCAGGCTGCAAATCCCAGCTCTGACCTGGCTCCAGCAGAGCCAACGCAGACGTGAACCATTCTGGCAGAGTGCTGTCATTTGTGCCAGTTTTACAGTGTGGAGAGGAGTGCGAATGACGCCAAACCCTGCTGGCCTCATTTCACTTGCCCTTTATTGAAACCTCCGGGCCTTGCACCCTGGGCACACACCAACAGGGATGCAATGTCTCATATGTGCAGAAAGGGCTTGGATGAGGTGGCCTTGACTGCCTCCATAGCGGTCAGCTCTCAATATTGTGGGAAGTCGCAATGTGCAGGAGAAGGCTGACCCAGCACCGGCAGCTTCAGCAAAGGGGTCAAGATACACGGGTATGGGCTGAGTCCCAGAAACGGATCAGCAAGGGCAAAGCACCGGGCTTGGGAAAGGGTTTTCTCTGCTACTGCTCCTCCTGCCGCTCCTGATCCCCCTGGGGACGGAGAAAACAAGGGACTTTGCTCTCTAGGGACCTGTCAGTCAGAATCTGCCACCACCGTTTAATTTGCTGAATTTATGCCTGCCAGGAGGCCGGCCTGCCAGACTGTTCCTGAGCAGGCAGTGCCATCCCGTGGGATGAGCTCAGCACAGCAGCCGAGTCTCAGAGCCGCACTATGCGGGAGCTGAAGCAGCCGCGCAGCTCCCATGTGGGAGACATCACTTGCTCAGTGTCCCACACAGGACAGGAGTGGCTGGAACCATTTCCAGTCTGCCAGGGCTCCTTACCTCTTGCTTCCCCTTATTCCCCCTCTCCTTCCAGCAGGAAAGCTCTGAGAGATCATAATGACATAACTGGACATGGGGGTTCAGCTGACTCCCGCCCATGACAGGCTCCAGCAGGTCCCAGGTATATATATATATATATGTGAGGGGCAGGTATAACTTTAGGAGGGGAGGGCAGACAATAAAGCTGTGACCCTGAGCTTGGTGTGGTCATGAGGTTGGAGGCAGCATGTCCCAGCAAGGCACCCTCCATCAACAAACCTCCCCACCTCTCCTCTAAACTTACAGCTCCTCTGGTCTCCTGATGGTGCCAAGCCAGGCACCATCCAGGAGCGCTCACTGCAGAGATGCTTCATTCATGCAGAGAAAAGGGCAATCCCACAGAGCTCAGGGAGCCCCATGGCTGTCCCACACCTCCTCCTGTCCCTGCTGATACCACCCAAGGGCTTGGTGTTGCTTGTGGGCCTTTCTGGGGAGTGAGTGGTGCAGGGAAGGAGAGAAGCTTCCCAGTTCCAGACCTTTCCCATCCCTTCCTGCAGAGCCCACAGCAAAGCCTGGACCCGACCTTGGGAATCAGCTGTGACCTTGGAAAGTGCCTTATGCAGAAGGACAGGCCCTGGACAGGGAAGAGGAGAGAAAGAAGGACCTTGGGCTGCTGCAGAGGGAGCTTGCTTTCTGGAGCAAGGCTGAGAGTGTGCATCCTTTCCACTGCCTCGAGGTGCCTGATGCCCGATGGGGGACATACACAGCACAGCTTTGCCAGAAGGGACAAAAGCACCCGGCTGACTCCTCCAGAGACAGAAGAGAGCAGATGGCGCTGAAATCTGCTCAAGAAGAGAGGAAGGAATAGCCCCGAGGCTCCACAGTCCCTGCACCCCAAGAGGCACATTTGTTCCCAGCCAAGCGTGTCGGCCAGCCCGGTCTCTGACTTACCAAGAAGCAGGGAAAAGAATGGCAAACGTGGGCTGGCTGAGCTGCTGTGTGTCCCTTGGCACTGTGCTCTTTTGTGGGGACTTTCCTGAGAGACCCTGGGAGAGAAACAGCATCTTATACATAGGTAGCATCTGCATTTGACTCCTTACTGCTTTGATAACTTGTTCTTGTGCAAATTGGGTTCAACTCTGCTCACTAGCAGAAATCAGTTGGTGTTCAGCCTGGAGAAGAAGGCTCTGGGGAGATCTTACAGCAGCCTTTCAGTACTGAAGGGGGCCTACAAGAAATCTGGAGAGGAACTTTTTACAAGGGCATGTAATGACAAGACAAGGGGGAATGGCTTTAAATGAAAGGGGAGATTTAGATTAGACATTAGGAAGAAATTCTTCACTATGAGACAATGGTGCTGAGGCCCTGGCACAGGTTGCCCAGAGAAGCTGTGGCTGCCCCATCCCTGGCAGTGTTCAAGGCCAGGTTGGACAGGGCTTGGAGCAACCTGCTCTAGTGGAAGGTGTCCCTGCCCATAGCACAGGGGTTGGAACTCGATGAGCTTTAAGGTCCCTTCCAACCGGAACCATTCTGTGTCTGTAATTCCATGATCCCATGATTCTATGGTAAGATTTTCTTCCTGCCTCCTGATGTCCTGCTCAGGCCTCTTTACCTGGTTTCAGTAAACAGTAAGCTTTCCAGAAGAGGGACCAGAGAGGCAGTAGCATGTGGAGAACATGATTAGCTCCAGAAGATTCTGATTTTTCATGGAAGTTACCACAACACTGACAGTATTGAAGGAAATTACCGTGGACCTTTCTGTGCTGGACAGGGGCCCTTGTAAAGAAAGACCACGTTGCCTGTGGTTCTGCTCACACACACCAGGATCCCTTTCAGTTTGGTGCTGAATATAACTCAGACACTGGAGAACTGCAGGGCAAGGAGGAGGGCATCTGCAGCTGAAAAGCAAACCACTACCTCAGTAGTGAGAAGTCTATCACCCTCCATCATCCTGGGCCACATCCTCTTCCCTGCTGTTGGTCCAGCTGGATCCATGCAGCATTTCCCCAATGCAGCAGCTGTGACCTGCTTCTGCCTCTTTTGACACAGTTCCGCATCACCACAATAGCTTGTGTCTCTAACGTACTTCTCCCTCAGTGAGGCGGGGAAATAATGTCCCTCCCTGCACAGCATGGAGGTGCCAGCTCCCACTGGAGAGGTTTACTGGGGTGGCCTGGAAGACAGCACACAGAGCAGGGATTGCAGCTCAGCCTGTGCACTCCCAAGCTCATACCCCAGCCACTGCACCAGCCTTCCTCTCCTTCTGCAGGCTCCGAGACAGCAGGGACACTGCCGGCACCAGCTGCTCTAATTGAGCTTTGTAGAATAAACGTGTGGAATTAGCCTGTTGGCTGCTGGGATGAAATCCAGCGCTGAGTGCAGATCAAAGGAGGCAATCTTGCTGACAGTTTGCGGGGAGGCAGTTGGACGCAGGCTCCTTCTGCAGCTCTGGAAAGAGCAGCGTTCAGCAGCTGAGGATGAGAACAGAGTATAATACATGCTGCCTCTTCGATGATACATGTGGTCCAGGCCCTGATGGTCAAAGCTACAGAAGCCATGGGAGACATCTGACAACGGTGATAAAAACAATCAAAGCCAACCAAGAGACAGCACTAATTCAGAGGAAGACTGGGTTCCCAAAAATCCAGTCAAGCATTTCTCCAGGAAAGCTGCCACACGAAGAGGGCAGGTTTATAGTCCAGCCTCCGGGAAGGGGATGAAGGTGCTGAGAAGGAGGCCACGTGTCACAGTGAAGCACATGGTGTGGGAGAACAGCAGACTGAAAAGGCAAATAAAAGAGCAATGGGAAAAATGGGATTCAAAGAAGAAAGCCAGGGAAGGACGGAGGGCTTCCCAGTGTGTGAACACTGCTCTGTGGCAGAAGCCAGTTCCTATACAGCCAGGGCTGGTTGCAGTGAAAGCCCAAGAGCCAGCAGTGAGCTCTTCTGTTTAAAGACAACAATGATGACTTTAGAAGAAGAGTCTGACCTGAAGAGGGGTGTAAAGGTCAGGTTTCCCCACAGGGGGAAGGTGTTAAGGCTGAAGACTATTTCTTTCGGTTTCTGGGTATGTCAAGAAGCGTGGGGCAGTGGATACTAAGCATATGGCACAGGTAAAAGGTGTGCTTGCTGCTTAGTGAGGAAGAAGAATCCAAGTGGCTATTTCTGATGCATTTGTTATAAGAATGAGAAAAGGAACTACTGGAAAAGAGTGTTTTAACGTGAACATCAGTCTTCCAGTCCTCAGCTGCCTCCTTGAGTGGAAATACAGTGACACAAGCTGGAAAGCAACCCCTGCCTTAAGGCTTTCCAAGGCATCTTCGGTCAAGGCAGAAGGGATCTATTTCCTATGAAAGGCCCCTAACCGGTTGGGCACTTGGTCTTGCTTTCCTTCATTTAAACCTGGCAAACCTCTGGTAACACCACCTGAGCTGCGTATTGTCCTCGTGCCACAGAGGAGGCTGCTGCTCAACACAGAGCCAGCTCACAGAGCAACAGACCTCCAAGAAACCACAAACCATGGTGGAGGCTGATGGTGGTGGAAGTTTCAGACTGGAATAGCCACAGTGCTGGAACGAGCCCCTCTTTTATGGATCTAACACCAGCACAGAGCCCAGAAACAGTGAAGCGGGAGACAAGAACAGAGAAACAGATGGGAGCAATTTATCCTGGCTCTTCTCGTGAGCATCTTCCAGGGAAGAGTGATTAGCCTTATTAACTGATTAAGTGACTAATTAACTGATGAACTGAGATTATGGATCAAGGATCAAATGATTGCAAGCAAGTGTATTTTGAGTACTTTTCCGGGAAACGACGTATCTCATGTGCTTTTAATGAGAGCTAGAGGCTGGGTGGTGAAAGGCTTGTGGCTGGGGTGAGAGGGGTCCCAGGTGCAGCATGGCACAGGATACAGGAGGTGCAGTGCCTGGCATGAAGCAGAAAGGGAGACACACTTGTTCCTTCCCCTCTTCCAGTAAATTTGACCTAAATGGGGCAGCAAATCTCATCTTCTTCAACACTGGGCTTTTGTCTTAGATCCTTTCTTGTCCTTGATAAGAAACCAGAAGGTTGTCTCTGTGCCCACATGCACATCTAACCCACACCAGCCACTTCCTACACACACTCTCCTCTGACCCATGCCTTTACCCAACTCTGACCCCACAAAAGGTAGTTTGAAGGACTAAGCCCAAATTGTACATGATCTGTCATCTCTGGGATATAGAAGCAGCATTACATTCTCCTGTAAGCACCTACACAGGCTTCTGAGCAAAGAGGAAGCCATGGAAGGGAAAGGATTTTGGCATATCAATTTGTCATCACTTCTCTTCATTCGTTCCCTAGTCCAGTTTTCTCTTTAGAACTTTTCACTTTTTTTGTCACCATCAACAGTCCCTCTGAGCCCGTTCGATGCAGGAGGGTAAGGGATGGGTGCTGTGGGGGTTACCTGGAGCTGGGCTTGCACTCAGCCACCACCAGCAACCAGTGAGGCAGTTCCAGCACTAATGATGTTTGTCTCCAAAAGGGCTATTTAGGTGAGACAGTTACAAATTGCATTTTATAAACTGTATTTCTATAAGTGGATTTTTTTGCTAGCGGGGAAAAGTGCTTTAATAATCCCACTTCTGATTAATGGCAGGGTGTCTTGGCAAAGGAAAGACTGCTGTAGCTTCAGTTCTTTCTCAAGGGGGAATTACAAGTGGCAAATGAAGAAGAAAATGCACACCTCTCTGCCTGGAAAATATTGATCTATACTCTTCTTAGGTAAAAGATACCTGATAAAATTATCTAAAGAGTTAGATTTTGGCCTCTGGGCAAAAGAGATCTGTAAGCTAGATCCTGCTGCTTTTAGGGGCAGAGGAAACTTCAATTCCTCTGGCACATGAACATCTGTGATTTAACGATTTATTGCCCTCGATCCCTGAGAAAAAATACTATACCAATGCCAGCAGCAGGGATCTGAGGCACATGCTGTACTAAATCACTGGCTCATGGTCTCCCAGAGGGGCAACAAGGCTGAATCCTTACGTCTAGGGCTAGGTCTCCCCTCCAGCAGGTCAAGGAAAGCCATGAGGACAATGCAGAACCTCAAATGCCACGCTGTGAACACAGTGAGGGCAACTGCAATTCCTGTTCTTTGTGCATCTTTACCTCTCAAAGTCAAATGTTTCTTAACAACCTCTAAAATACAGTCAGTTGAATGATCATACAGCTACAAACTGAAAAGTTACCTGCTTTCCTACAAAATCATTGGATAGAAATGTATTTTTATTTCAAGAGGCTGTGTGTGTGTGAAAATTAAGAGGCACAGCATTAAGTCATGTTTTCTGTCCTGACATGTGGTTATATTGATATCCTTGATATCACAGAATCATAGGATAGTTTGAGCTGTAAGGGACCTTAAAGCTCATCCAGTTCCAACCCCCTGCCACGGGCAGGGACACCTTCCACTAGACCAGGTTGCTCCAAGCCCCATCCAACCTGGCCTTGAAAAGAAATACTTCTGCCAAGAGAAGTTCCACTTTTCTATGAAGCTTAATCATTGTTTCTGCTGGAGAAGACGCTTTTGACACCTCGCCATCGCCTTTTTGAGCTGCCGTGCTCTCCTCAGACACCAAAATCAATGTTTTCTTCCTCTTAGTGACAGCCAGGTACAAACTGAACATTTTGTCATGTGTCAGCCCCAGCTTTTGTACTTCAAAGCCAAACCCAAGCTTTTTAATCAACGGGGCACATTTACTACCATTAACATCACTCTCTTCCCACTCCTACGCATTTTTGTCGTTAAGCGGTAATTAGCAGAGAGCAGAACTCCAGCAGGTGGCACTGTCACCACAGAAGGCACAGCAAAACAGGAGCCGGACGTTCCCGACAGGGGCACACGCCACATGGGATGCAGCTCCGCAGCGTCCGGACCCCCGCCGGCACCCCCAGGAAGCTGAAGGACGCGGACACTCAGGTCCGCCAGCGAGGAATGGATCGTTGGGGGCGCTCTCACCCGCTGTGCCTTCTCTAGCCCGCACGTACTGCAACTTTATGGCCACGACGTACTGC